ACATCGTACGACGCCCTGGCTCAGTCCTAGCTCACGCCAGGCCGGGACCCAGCCCCACTGCGGCTCTGCATTAACACGTCGTACGACGCCCTGGTTCAGTCCTAGCTCCCCCCAGGCCTGCTTTTACCGCCTGGATCTCTGCGGGACAGCCCAGCTGCCCCCAGGCCTGCTTTCACCGCCTGGATCTGCTTTCGCTGCCTGGATCTCCACGGGACAGCACCACTGCCCCCAACCCTGCTTCCCGGCAGCCAGTTCCCTCTTCCCCCCCCTCCTCCCAGCCTGCCCCACTCTGCTCCCCTCCCGGCAGCCATGCTGAGGCCCGGTATTTTTTTCCCATGCCCGGTATCGGGCCGCGGCCCATAGTTTGGGAAACGCTGAGCTACACTATTGCATCCCTACTTAATACTGAACTTGGCTCCTTGGTCCTCTGTCTCAGAGGCCAGAGTGCTACGTTCCCTCTTCCCCCCCCTCCTCCCAGCCTGCCCCACTCTGCTCCCCTCCCGGCAGCCATGCTGAGGCCCGGTATTTTTTTCCCATGCCCGGTATCGGGCCGCGGCCCATAGTTTGGGAAACGCTGAGCTACACTATTGCATCCCTACTTAATACTGAACTTGGCTCCTTGGTCCTCTGTCTCAGAGGCCAGAGTGCTACCAAGGGAGCTTTGACTTTTGATCTTAAGGAAAATGATCTCTTGGGGTGTATGGTGGTATTTGAGAATTCACAGGCTTTCATAAGATCTAGTCGTATAGCGATATGTTGGTTTTAGTTAAGCAAGTAAGATACTTCACTACAGAAAATGGGGGAGTTGCCAGTGACTAATTAGTGCAAGTAATTTTACCTAACATGAAGTAAAATCCTAGTGAAGACACAACAGTTTGTAGTTTTCCACATATTAGCAGGTAAAAGTTAATGGAGACAGAGGGGAAACCTGTGGTTTGTCTGCCAACTCGCATAAAATTGCAACTGCTTTATCTTCTTTGGGATTTTACTATTTGTTAGTTACCATGTGTGGGAAAAAAAAATCTTCTCCTTTGTTTTCCTAGAGAAGATATGGACCATTTGAGGCGGTGAGCACCAGGATTTTATATAAATCATTTATGGCCCAAGTCTAAGTAATATTTTTAAAGACAGCTTTCTTCACCTGAAATGAATTTCAAAACTCTCTCAAAATGTTTTTCTTGCTCTATAACTTTAAATATTCATCATCAGAAATATTAATAAACAGTTCTAGTGCTTAATGTCCTCAAACTGTCATATGTAACATAGTTTTTTAAAACGCAATATGCCTCCTTTAATCTTCATACTGGCAGGTTGTACTTAGTGTCCTTATAGCAGAGAGGAGGGTTTATTTTTGTTAGATATGACTTTATTTGTTTCTGTGATAAATTTGATAGAACTCAGGTCTTTATGGGATTATCCTGACATTTGTTGCATCTAATTCTTGTTTTAAAAGTGATTTTTTTTCTTTAAGGAGCACCTGCAGAATCTTCTCAAGACGAGCAATCATCATCTTATGAAGGTACCGGGTTTTCATATTTGAAAAATCTTTTGCAGCTCCAGTAAATATGGTTAAGAAAAAAATAAATATTTTTAGTAATTGCAGAAAACATCTTTATTAAAGCATTCATTATGGTATTCCAAAGTTATTTGTTTGTTATTGGCTTCACATTAAGCAAATATACATAATGCCTCAATTTTTTGTCTAGGTTCAAATGTTGCTGTTAGTATGGAAGTCTCAGAACCTGTTGGTAAGACATTGCCATAAACAATTCCTAATATCACTTTGTTTTATTTATTGTTAGCTAAATTGAAGGCTGCCTTAATTGGACCTTTGCTTTTTGGTTGATACAAAATTCTCAGCATTTCTCTTTTCTGTTCCAGGCACAAAGCAGACTAAAGGGGTACTAAAAATACCAACGCAGTAAATGTTGTGATAGCAAATGTAATGGGATTATTTGAACAATGAATAAGAACAATTCATTACATAATATTTTCCCAGAATTTGTATGCAGCTTTCCCTTTTACTGCAAAAATTGTGATAGTCTTCAGTGTGGTCTTGAGTGCAAGTATTAGTCTGCAGTTAACTATTGTGCTATTTTAAAGTCTATGTTCAGGTTTTCTTTCCCCAGTAAAAATGCTGCTTTGTTAAAATAGAAGTTTCTTAAATCCCTGACAGTCATAATTTTCTGATCTCAGCAGCCAAGCTAGCAATAATATATATTTCAAATTAAGCAAAAAGTACCTGCTTTGCAGAGCAGGGCATCCACAAACTGAATATCTGCAAAACAGAATAGTTGTATCTTGATTTTGAAAATAAAAAGGATATTTTAATTAGTTAGTGATGAAATAAAAATATTGACTAGCTTTTTTTGAGTTACATTCTTAATTTATTTGAATGTACTTGTTTCATTAACTTCTAGTAGAAAATGGAGAGACAGAAATGTCCCCAGAAGAATCATGGGACCACAAAGAAGAAACATGTGAAGCAGATCTAGGAGGTGGCCCATCAGGAGATGCAAGTCATGCTGAGGAGAGTGCCCAGGAAATGATGGAGGAAGAGGAGGAAATACCAAAACCTAAATCTGTAGTAGCACCACCAGGTGCCCCTAAAAAAGAACATGTAAATGTAGTATTCATTGGGCATGTAGGTAAGTTGCAGATGAACAACTGTCGGGTAAAGGATAGAAATTTCTAATAAATGTGTGGTATGTTCTTGAATAATTCTGCCTTTTAATTAATCCAAAATGTGACTTTTTCTCTTCCTTTTTAGGTTAGAATGCTACTAGAATTGGTAGAATAATTTTGAAATAAGATTGACAAATATTAGCAATGTATCTTTGGAATCTAATAAACTAGTCTATTATGTACAGTTTGGGCTGAAGATTTGATTTCTTGATACAGAGACTTTACTTATCTTCTAGAATAATTAGGTTGCATGAATAATCCCATGCTAGATGAACGGTCGTGGATAGCTCTTTCAGTATTATATTAGTTTATTTTACAAACATGCTGCTGTTGTTCAGTTTTATAACTTCAGAATGATGAGGATTGGCCTCTTGGCACATTGCACAGCAAGTGTTGTATAAGTAGCACAGTTTCTTGGCTCTGCTGGAAGTTAATCCTGCTCCATTCTAAGAAAATGAAAGTGTGCATCCTGCTTTGAGGTGATGGAATCATCTTACTCTAGTTATGCTGCTGCTTTTGAAATAGTCAGGTAACATGTAAGAAAAGGGTACAGAAAACCTGTGTTCTCTTGGACAAAATAAAATCCATACTTAGGGCCTCAAATCAGGATCTGCTTGGCATTTTTCTTGGCTTGGGAAGTTAAGTGAAGACTATCAAAAAATCTCTGCTGCACAGAATCAAAACATCCTGTGCCAGAAAATGTTTTCTTTTAATCCATTTTTGGTAAAACCATACCTACAATATTGGTGCTTCTCAACCAAAATGATATTAACAAATTGGAGAATTCAGAGAGAAGCAACAAAAATGGATGAGCTTACCAGAAATTGAGACACACTTTGTGGTTTTTAAACACAATAAAATAAGTGAAGGATGAACATATGAAAGATAGAGAAGAATTATTAATGGCAATAGGGGAAAATACAGACTGACTATAATTTACTGACAATGAAATCTTAAATTGCAGAATAGTCTTTCAAGGGAAGTGGTAGAAACTCCATTGCTTGGGATATATTAAAATTAAACAGGACAAAAATGTATCCTACAAAGCAATGCTATATTAGCATGAAATGGGCTTGATGGACTTAACTTCCCTTGGATCTCTCTTTCTTTAATACTTAAAACTAAAGGATTTTGTAAAGTATCTTTCTTTTGTATGTTTGTTAGATGCTGGCAAATCGACCATTGGAGGACAAATAATGTACGTAATTTTTTAAACATGATTGTTTTAAACTGTTACAATCTTTAATATTGTGGATTATGATATTTATGTAGAAGTAAATAGTATGATTGATAAGTTCAGTGAGCATAGATTTTTTTTTTTTTTATGAAATACCACTCTGGGTCTATTAATTTAATAAGTCATTGTCTTTGATTTGTTAGTTTCAGTGCTCCAGTCTTATTGCAATAGTGTCATTTACTTAACAAAAGTATACCTGTACAAATGCATATTTCATTACATAACAAATTTCTTTAGAATATTTAATTCCATTTTTTCTGAGAGCTGTTCTTTAATACTGCACCTTCTGCTCGCTACACTCATCGACTCCCCCTTGGCTAGTGAGGACCGAGGGCTGAGGCTTCCCAACCCAGCTCTTTTTCCCCCCTTCCCTTCCCACTGCCAGAGGGGGTCCAAGGCCACCCTGGCTCTTCCCCCTGCCATTGGCTGCCAGGGAGGGCTCAACCCTGTGGCCGCCCTGGCTCTTGGACCACCCACCCTGCCCTGGCTCCTTGCCTTCAGCTGCCGGGAAGGGCTGCACTGGTCCCAGCTTCCCCTCCCCCCTGTCTGCTAGCTCTCTCCCTTTCCCCCAGCTGCTGGGCTCTTCCCGAGCCACCAGGAGGGGCTGGCCTGGAGGCCAACCTAGCTCTTGCATCCTTTGGCCACTGGAGTAGTTTCTTCATAAGCCCAGCCTTTTAGAGGTTGGCTTTTATTGTGCAGGATGATGTTACATTTTTAAAGGCCCTCCCCCCCAAAAGAAAACCTTAAACATCTATTGTCACTTGAAGCACTCATCCACTTACGTTAAAGTGTTAAAAATGCTATGAAGATGCTTTCTGTCAATTAATTGCATAAGTTAATTTTGCTGTTTTTAGTTCTATTTGTAATGCCTTTTTAATATGGTTCAGTATCACTTTTTTATTGTGAGAAAGTAAGTAGTGCCTCTTGTACCTTATCTCAGCCATTAATTATTCTGAGTAATCTCCCTTCTTACTATTTTTCTTTCTAAACTAAATAGACCTACTCTTACCATTATAAGACCAGATTGAAGCTTTAAGGAAAAGTATATATTAGTACTATACAATCAGAATCTAATATCGATCTGTAGGCTTTTAATAGGTAAAAGGTCTGTGGAAAAAATGCTAGTTTTCCTTCCCTTGTCAGTTTAAGGCACTATTCAAAAGTACCTGTATTCAGCCTTCACCCAATTGTTGGCATTTTTCTTTTATGTAAACGTATCTTATGCCAAGGTTTCTGATTTGTATTACCATTTTGTAGTTCTGTGGGAAGTAATTCAGTCACCTATGATCGGTTTTGGTTGAGAATATAATGCCAGTTTCTGATACCTCTCTTCCTTTTCCCCTTTTATATTTTGAGTGTCTTGTACTAGGGATGTTGGTTAATTTAATAATCATGTAACCACACCATATCTTACCAGTTACACAATTATTCAATGGTCCGTGAGTGCACTCCCAGCCCCACTCCAAGGGAACTCCCTGCCATCCAACACAGCGGTTACACAATTATTCAATGGTCCATGAGTTAAAACACCAACTCCCTGTACAGACTGGCTCCCGCCTGCTGCCCCACACTGTTGCCTCTGAAACAGAGGCAGCAGCCTCTGTCCACAGCGGACCCGAATTCCCCACAGACAGACTGCTCCATCATCCCAAGGAGCAGCCTCTGTCTGTAGCAAGCCTGGGCCCATCACAGACAGAGGCTGCTTTGCAGCAGCAGCCCCTGTCCGTAAGGGGACTGAGCTCCCCACAGACAGAGCCTGTGCCAGCATCCCCCAGAGCAGCCTCTTTCTGCAGTGAGTACGGACAGAGGCTGTTCTATCCCAGCAGCCCCTGTTCATGGGGGGCCTCTGATACAGAAGCAACAGCATCGAGGGGTGGGGCTGCAGCACTGCAAAGTTAGTGGTCAGGAGGTGCCAGCTTTTAAGATCCCACTGCGCCCACTCTTTTTGTCTCTGTGGGAAGCAGCAAGCGGTGAGAGGGGAGGCAGATCTGTGGAGCAGGCATACACAGATTGCTGGCTGCATCCTTCCTTGCATGTATCCGCTCCTGCCAACCTCCCCCTCCCCCCCATCATGATCTGAGCTGAGAGCGCGTGCGAGCCAGCCTCTATCTTCCACCTTTCAATGACTTGAACAGCCACCAACCAATGGAGGTGCTGATGGTTCTTAATAGCCTCTTGTAACTAGTTGAACTGTCTCTTTTTCTTCTTCCTCTCCCTTTTTTCTTCCTCTCCTCCTCCCCCCCCCTCCCCCGCTGACTCTGATACAGCATCAGCAAAGGTGGTGGGAGTTCATATAGTTGTTTAGAAAAGCCCAGGCTTATTGGTTAATCAGTTCAACGACTATACATAAACATCCCTGTCTTGTACATGGTTATATTATTGACTCTAATATTTGTTTTAAGATAAATTAGAAGTTTGATAAATCTTCTGTACTGTTCTAGTCTAACTATGGATGCTTTTGTATAGGCATATATTTTATTTTAGACAGTTGTTTTAAAAGAACAAAAAAATAGTAGTTGCTTTGTTAAAAGACATTCTAAATTAAGACAGTTCCTTGGGAGGTCATGTCTATGAAATAATTGTATTAGTTTTTGTTCCCTTTTAAAACTTAATGCAGCATTTTTAAATGTGATATACAATGTTCTGCTTTTTATTTAAGTGTGTCATTTGTGTACCATTAAACCATAGAGCTCATATGGTAGGCAGGCATATGCCTTGCTTGCTCTTTACTTGAACAGGTAGCCATGCTTACTTTTTGAATTATGAAATTGCTCTTCTGAGAACAGAAACTCCATTGTTACTCTTTTCAGACTGTATCTTGCATCTACAGAATAATCAATCATGTACTCCACTAGAATAGAAATTTTTAGCTATAATGTAATTATTGTAATCTCTTTTTTCCCCTCCCTCCCCCCTACACCTTAGGTATTTGACAGGAATGGTTGACAAAAGAACACTTGAGAAATATGAGAGAGAAGCTAAAGAGAAAAACAGAGAAACCTGGTATGAATCTTACTTTAGAGTATATGGTATCCTGTTTAGCTCTTCTGTTGGGATTGGGTTTTGAAGTGTTTGGTTGGTTCTGTTTTTTGCAGAATTTTTCCAGCCAGGGATTTGATGTGCGCTATATTGTGTAGTGCAGTACATTCCACACAGGAGCAGATTTTGCTTCAATATTGTATAGCAATAATTCTCAATCAGAGTCAGGGGGCTATGAGCAGGTTTCATGGGGTCTGCCAAGCAGGATCAACATTAGACTTTCTGGGGTTCACACATATAGCCAAAGACACTATATGGGGCTGAAGCCTAAGCAATTTAGCTTTGTGAGACCCCCATTTGGCATGGGACCCTGGGCAACTTTCCTGCTTGCTACTCCCCAATCCTTGCCTTTGCTTTTGTATGCAGAAAAACAGTTGTGACACAGGGTGGGCCATAGAGGTTTTATAGCATGTGGAAGGGGGCCTTAGAAAGAAAAAGGAAGGGAACCCCTGTTGTACAGAATACTATTTTCATTTGTGGTGTTGCACAGTAGTCACTGACTGGTAATGATAACACTGCTCTACAGCCAAAATGCTTCTGAAATAAATGTAGTGAAACTTTATTAATTCTGGGTCACTGAGAACAAAAATGGTGCTTAAAATTGTTGATTGGCTCTAGTTTTCAAGATATGCTATTGGGTCAGTATATACGACCCTTGACTTGGGAATAGCGGAGGATAAGTGAGTTATAAAGGGAAGGGATCTCAATTTAAACCAGAAATGACTAAAATACATCTTTGACTGGATCTATGAATAAATCTATGACTGGGTTTGGACAGTACTTGCTTTTTAGGCAAAACAATGAATGATGCAATCTGAAGCTGGTATTGCGTCATACATGATATGAATTGCATCATGTTATTCCTAGAAGTCATGGATGATGCAATCATAACGAAGCTTACATCACTCTGCTGAACAAATTGCCCTATATCAGCTCTAGAAATCATACGGTGTTGTGCTCTCTTATTTGTCAGTGTTTGATTTTGCAAAGGGACACATTTCTGTTTAGCCAAAGTGAACAGAGATGCCTCGTACTTGTGTGAACAGTGCAGATAACTTCTGCTATGTTTGTGGTGAAGTGACTTTTGCATCACAAAAGCACAGTATAACTACTATGGTTAAGAAAGCCTATCCCCTTTATTTTGGCTGCAAAATTGGAGATCAGGACAAGAGGTGGGCCCCACACATATGCTGCAACACTTGTGCAACAAATCTTCGCCAGTGGTTGAACAGGAAAAGGAAATCTATGCCTTTTGCAGTGCCAATGATTTGGAGAGAGCCAACAGATCATACCAGCAATTGTTACTTCTGCATGGTGCCTCCAATTGGGAAAGGTGTGTCAAAGAAGAAAAAGTGGACTGTGCATTATCCAAACATTCCATCAGCTATACGCCCAGAACCCTACGGAGAAGGACTGCCAGTTCCTGATGCACCAGAATCATTCTCACTTGAGTCAGACGAGGAAGAGGA